AAAATATATTTATATTTTTCGAATATTTTCAATCCAATTTTTTTATTATATTTGACTTTTTTTATTATCGGTAAAGTTTCAAGTATTTTTTCAATACAAATTCTTTATATTATAATAATTATATTTTTGAAACATTATAAATATTTTTTTTTTTAGAATAATCATAATAAAAAATAAATTAGCAAACACTAAATATTATTTACATTAAAATAAGATAAATTGTATTGCAAGAAACGATCAAACTAAATGAAAAATCAACAATTCACACCAGTAATTAAAACAGCATAATTTCGAGCAGTCACAGAATTTCTAACGACAGTATTCAGAGCGTGAAAATAACATAAGCGAATGTAAATTCACCACAAGCCCTGAATAAAAAAAAGTATTGGGACAAAGGAAAAAGTATTGAAAAGTATTGGATTGACTAGAAAACCAATAGATCCCCGCATAAACTTGCTCTATAAAAAATCCTATAAATTAACATCGCAAAGCTAAAAAATCCCCTTCAAAAAGAAAAAAAAAATAAATAAAGAGCTTTTCATTATATCAACAATTAAAATGCTTCGAAATAAGAGAGTTTATGGCGAGCAATTATTTTGATTTAGTTGTATCTCGACTCGAGTGAAAAAAGTTAATTGTTTTTTTTTTTTTTTTTTTTTATTTTTAATCATTTTATTTTATTTTATTTTCTGCATCATTGTATTCTGCTGGGTGGGAGAGAAAGGCTAACGGAAGTGTCTGTGCCCTCGTAATTTTACAATGCTGCACGCGTTTTAACAATGAAAGCTCAACCAGCAACATAACGTGACAGAGTGAATAAGAAAATATACATTGTTAGGCATGAACAATACATTTCTCCTCCTCTTATTACACTGCACAACACTACGCTGCACAATACTACTTGTAAATACTACTCTGTTGTGTTATGCGATATGTCTGTGTGCGTGAATCCCTGTAAATTCTATAGAGTTGAGTTGAGAGCACACCCACAACTCATCCTCATCCTCCTCTTCATTGCACAACTATTACATTGCCGGCTAAATTGCTCGAGTAATTTCGTCAGTCATTCACCCCTTCAGTATGTCAATACGCCAGAGTAAATAGTGTTTGCTTTAAAACTTCATCTTACTTACGTGTGATAATGCCTCTAACGCACTGTATAATGCATAATGTATAATGTATAACGTAAGATGATAATGACTAACCCAATATTTAATACTTTATACTTGTTTTATGTACACACCATATTCAATTGAGTTTTGTTTATCTTGCTGATGCCAGTAAACTTTCCGTAACAACTTTGTTGTCGCTTCATATCAATGTCTAGTTTATTTTTATGCTTACACATAATTTACGCTCCATTGTGTATGCTAATGATCTTACTATTGTATGCAGTAGACATGCCGCTATTACTGGGAATGGAAAATATATCGTATGTTTTTCACTTTAGAGTTAAATTTTCAATATAGATACGGTATTAAGTGTCACTGCATTGTGGTAGGGTATAACAGAACTTTTTTTTTTTAACAATATTTTCATAAATTAATGAAATTCGATTCCGGTTATTGAAAAATGTTTCTGTTAAATAACTTTAATTTTAGAATATATTAGAAATTTAAATTACGCGCTTTTAATTCGATAAAATTTCGATATTATCGATGCTAAATAACTTCAGCTTAACTATGAACTTCATGTTATAGGATAGGTTTATATTTTTTTGTTAACATTTTGCACTTTTTCTGATCCTTCGCATTATTTTGCTGGGCATTTATGATGTAGGAAGTAGTCAGCATATCTCAAAAAGTATTTTTATATGAAAAATTCTTTACAATATAGGATTCAAGTCAAGTGTATAGAATTTCAAAAATTATCTAGTAAAAAGTGAAACAGAAAATTTAACTGTAAAATATTTTTCAGCTTAAGGCCAAAAAAAATTGTAAAACCTTTTAGACAGATTTAAACGTAATAAAAAATTGAGAATTTTTTTAATTAAATTAGCTGCTGAAAAGATAAATCATCAATCAGCAATTAAAAGCAGTGATTAATGACGAAAAGATCAGTTAATTGTGAAAAACTATTCGTGGTGAAGTAAAATTATTGAAAATCACAAATTACAAACATTTATTAGCCTTAAATGAATATTATTAGTTGGACGTTTGTAAAATTATCCAATTAGAGTATGGTAGAGGTAGTTTTAAATGAAAAGAACGGCAGTCTGAAGCGCGCGGGGTAGATATCATCAAGTCTGGTTAACCAAGACCGGTAGCATCCCTTTACTCGGAGAAACTCTTTAATTACGGTACTTTCCCGTACACCAGTGAACTCTTTTTACCGCGTGTTCGGTGCATAGTACAGGGGAATATTCTATGGGCACTAGAAAATAAAAATAAAAGACTTCAGTGGAAGTTAAGTAATAGTAGCTGCGGCAGGAGGGAAAAAGGTGGACAGAAGCGGTTCACATTTGCAATTAATTTCCACCCTTTAACTGATTCAACTCCGACTCTTACTCGGCGGTCGCGGTAGTAATGGTAGCGAGACTTCCGGATGGACTTAACATTAAATTAACGTCCAATCGTCGAGCTTAAATATTGTACCACAAAGCCTCATTGGTATTCCTTTTTTATTTTATTTTTCAATTCGTTTTTTTTTCTTTTTTTCTTTTTTTATTTAATTTATTTTGTCTGTCTGTAATTTCATTTCTTTTACTCTTTGACCGAAAGTTGTAGCGATAAAGCAGTCTCTATCCCGACGAAATTAAAACTTTTGGATTACCCAGGGAATTCTTAATTCTTTAGCTCTCGGATTCTTTGCTAGAAAGATTTTTTCTTTCTTTCTTTATTATTTTTTCTTTTCTTCTGGTCCTATCCTCTTTATAATTTTTATATTTACGTGGTATGCTTAAGAAAATGAGGAAGATGCTCTACCAATGTACAGGATAGAGAAGGAGACCAAAAGAACGTAGAAACCAGAGAGTGAGTGTAATAAGTAGTAAGGAGGCGACATTTTTATCCGACCACATTCATTTCTACTATCTTTTGTGTTTCCCGCTATCAAAACCTTTTAATTAGGCTACGTAAATAGTCCAGGCTCAGCTTTACTTCGAGATAGACTCAAAGATTTCATAATACTCATACAAAAGCTCCCGACACCTGTTTGTTTGTATTATTAATTTAATTATTAAAGCCGTATGGGGTAAGATAAAAATAAAAATAAAAAACAAAGTTATGAAATAAAAGCTTTTATTAATTTGCTTTTTTACAGCGCTGTAATATAATATAATATTATATAATATGAGAGAAAGAAAACAATGAGCGGATGGTGCCCAGGTTAGATTAGGTGTAGAGAATGTGTTGAAGAAATGGAACGTTTCAGAAGCCAGTTGCAGCAGAGCCGTAGTTGCTGGTGCGGAAGCTTGAAAAATTACGTCAAGGGTTGGCTGAAGGAAAATAGATTGTCGAGCGCACTATGGATGTGGTTTTATATTGAGGAAAAGAAACGGGGTTGGGTGGCTAAGTAAGACGGAGATTTCAGCCCCCTTTAAAGGGGGTGCGGATGTGGGTGAGAAAAAGGGATTCGGGGAGATTTAATACTAGATAAGATTGAGGAAAGACAGAATGAGGGTAAACATCTTCTTAAGACTTTAACATGAGACAACCAACGTGAGAATTTGTATTTTGTCACTCTCGTAAAACGTGTATGCACAGCTTAAGCTGAAACTTTTCTCAAGTTCCGGGAGTCAACATCTGGGATTTAAGCCTCAAGCTTTTTTAAATTTAAAATTGCCTGTCAATTTAGAATTGAAGATTGGGGCTTTTATTTTTATTATAATAAAAATTGGAATTTTGATTCACTGAAATTTGATATTAATGTACTGTGAAAAATTGAGAGTGATATTTAATTTAATAATTATTGTATAAAATACTTATTTCAAAATTGCAAATCGCATCATCCACTCCACATTCACTCCCGAAATTTTGTACAATGTTTACGTTCCAATAAAGCAAAAATTTGTTAGTTTTTATTTAATAAAAACTGGTCTATTAAAGTCAATAACATTTTTCGAAATATTTCTTCTATATCAAAATTCAATGATCAGAGAGAGAGAGAGAGAGAGAGAGAGAGAGAGAGAGAGAGAGAGAGAGAGAGAGAGAGAGAGAGAGAGAGAGAGATAATAATGCTGTCCTTTTGAAGTGCAGAGAGAGAGAGAGAGAGAGAGATAAAATGCCTCTGGTTCCAGTAACTTCATTTAAGTGCCTATCCCGTCTTTTTCTCGCGTCGCACTCACGGCGAGAAACGGTACTATCCTTGTTGCATCCTTGTGATGATAAAGCTAATTGCAGTTTAGGTTTTTTCTCTTAAACAAATGAGAATTTCGAAAAAAACGCTCAGCTATAAAATAGATAATTAAAAAATCTATTACGTAGCTGAGCGTTTTTTTTTGAAAATCTTCTTTATTTAAACGAGCAATCAAAAATTGTAATCATAGGGACCGGCTCTTTGAAAACTCGACTACATTTCAGTGTAACCTCATTCCTTCTTTTTTTTTATTTTTTTCTTTAATTAAGAGAAATTCAATATATCTACTGAAGTTAACTTTAGAGATCAAACATCAGCTCAATTAATAAGCAATTACGCAGGATTTGAGATTATTTTAAAGTTTAACCAATGGTTAATAAAATGTAATTCTGTGGGAATTTTTATATGATAAATTGAATGCTTCCGCGAGATTTGTTTTTCCTGAAATGTTCCCAATCCTTCAATTTTATTTCAACCGTTATATCATTCGCATTGTGTACATGATGAGGGTAAAGACAAGGGATGATTACTCAGATCCCTTCCAAGAGATGTTACAATTTCTCTACATTCAAACGTGAAAAATAATTTCATTTCGTTTATATATTTATAGATGGATGAAATGAAAATAAGAAATATGTGCGACTTGTTATAAACTAAACATTCAAGAATAACCCTTTTTTTATTATTATTATTATTTGTTACAGGTGGGTTCCCGCGGTGACCGAAAAGAGGGCGGTAAGCGGGGACGCAAGCCCGGAAGAAAAGCAGCCGACAAGGCGGATATGAGAGCCAAGCTTGGTATGATTTTTATTTCATATTTTTTTTGAATAGATAAATCAATAAATCATTTAGTAGTCGTGGTGATAAATAATTTTAATTAAAGTGACATATTCGAATAACTTTTGGAAAAAAAAATGAAGTGAAAATATAAGCACTGAATAATAGATTCGTAGTTGTCATCGTGAAATGATTTTGTGTCACTGCCAGCAACCATTTTGCTAAAAATATATAAAAGATATAAATATTGAAATAGAAAAAAACTTTGCTGATATCAGAATTTATGAAAAACAATATCTGAATCAGCAGAAGCAAATCAGGTTGAGGCAGATGCGGTGAAAGAGAGAGATAAAGTTAAATGTATAATATGTGGATGGAGAATTTAAACGGCAAAGAGACAGAAGCGAGCGAGAGAGTGTGAGAGAAGAGTAAAATGAGAGAAAACAAATGGCAGAGCGACATCCGCGGCCACGAATATTTATCTGTTTTGGAAATGAATATTTATATGGTTAGCTTTTCTCGGTCGAGAGTTTTAACTCTCTGGTAATTCCTGGGAGTGAATATACACGGGTGCTGCTGGTTTTAGTTTTAGTCTCCTCGGTATGCCGTTATATAAAAGAGAAAGAACCTAGAAGGGGGTGAGAGTTGTGTTTTGCTATTCTACTATTTTCCCAAGACAAGAGATCGTCGTACTCGACGAGGGTTCCCAAAGATACGAGACGAGGAAACATTACAAGGATCGAGTTCACTATAGACTACAGGACAATGTCTAATTCTGCACTCTTGTTTTGTTCTTTTGGGTATTTAAATCTACACTAAAAAATTAAGTTAATTTTTGATCCGAGTTTTTATAAAAATCATGTTTAATTAGATTGAAAAATTTATGCAAATTGTTTAAGCTAAAATTCTTAAATCAAAAATTTTCTTTATAAAAGAGTTTGATGTTCTTGATTCAAAATTACATTTTTTAAATTAATAGAGCTTGATCTCTTATACAAGAGTTAATACTAAAGAGAATATTTTGGTAATTAATTAATTATTTACAAGTGGGGTCAACCCTATTTTGGGCCATGACTAGGTGAAAAATCAATATTTAAAAATTTTTTTTTTTGATTCTGCTTGTTTTTACGGCGCATTTATGATAAAGAATATATTGAAAGGAAAAAATAAATTTCGATAGCTTTTTTGCCTTTAAAAGTTGGAAAAAATTTTGACTCTCATGTTTTTGGATAAAATTTCTAGTTTATCTTTTTTTGATGTATTTTTTTTTTAAAAGTACATAAAAAAACAATTTAACATGGGCTAGCATGGGTTGACCCCACTTGTAAATAATTACCAATATTTTTCTTGAATCAAATGACTTTTTTTTTTCAGTGTAGACTTAAAATTTGATGTTAATTAGAGGAATCTTTTTTTTTATTCTTAATTTTCAAAGTTTTTAATATTTTCTACTGACTGCATTTTCTTAAATTTCCATTTATTCATTCTTCTTTACCTTCATCATCGTCAGTTCCTTTGCTCTTTTGTACCCTAGATCACCCTTCTGTTTTAATTCGCCTCACAAGGACGAGAAATAGAAGTTTCATAAATACTCCAGTGTAACAGTAGCGAAATATTTCTCGGAAATGTTTCATAACTTTGTCAGTCTCAAGTACCTTTATTTTTTATTTTTAAAAAATAAGTAATACTTTACCTTGTATATAAATTCCTAGTGTCTCGGGCGGTTTATGTGATGAACTTTCATTTTGCTGTCACGTTAAAACTTATTTTTTTCTTCTCCTCCTTATTCTTTTGGATCTTCATTTCCGGCGGACCGACTGGAGATAAACCCACTGAATCGTTTCTCTCACAACTTATACTCATTTTTCTCTCATGAAATAACACTACAGGCGAGAAATATGTCTTGGTCGAATGACTTTACTTTGATATATATGTATATATATGGTATAAAAAAAAGTAACTCCATAAATTTTGTAAGATTAAATTTTCATTTATCCGTCTCATGTTTTAATAAGGCGACATTTTAATTAAATTATTTCACTAACAAAGAACTGAGTTACGAGGATGTTTGGGGTCACATGGCACATATGTGTCACCTTTGACATCTTTATACATATGCCACATGAGAAGTCACGTCATACAAAAATAAAATATCCTTTTTCAAAGTAGTAATGTAATCATCATGTCAAAGAATATTCATTTTAATTTAAACACATCTTGTTTAGTTTTACATCTTGAAAAATACTTGCATTATTTAATTTATTTTATAACAGTTTACACTTTGAAATCTAAATTATTAGAATAATTAAGTATAATAAAATAAAGCTAAAGATACTGAGAGCAATAATTGTTAACAGTTACTAAGTTATTCCTGTCTCATAATATTATTTAGATTTAATAAAATATAATTCTCAAGGCGAATAAGAAGCTTAAGCTTTCACGAAAACATAAATTAGGTATGATGTATTCAGCGTTGAAAGTTTTAAGTACGTCAATACTTTATGGTTTGCACTTTGTACTATCAACGTAAATTTTGAGCAAACTGATGTAATGGAAAGTTATTTCTCAAGAATTTACATTTTATTATAAGAATGAAAAAAAAAAATTCTTGATTCCAGAGAAACATTCATGATCCAAGAACAAAATTATTTTAAAAGAAGCTGGTTTTCTTGATTAAAAAATCTTCATTGAAAAACACAATTCCCTTAAAAAAACCAGTTAATTTTTTTTTTTTTTTTTTTTAATTAAGAATTTTATATTCTTGGCTTCGGAAAAAGTTTTTTTATTCCAAATACTAAAAAATATTTTAGAAAAAAAAAAAATATTTTACTTCAACAAAATTCTGAAACATATTTGAGATTTATTTTTGAACTATAAAAAATAACAGAAATCAGGCTATAATCTTATTTGAAAATAGTAAAGTGCTTCTTTTTACACAGTAAAAAATTTTGCGTCATTGCGTCAAAAAACTTAGTGTTAAAAATTTTTGTGTTAAATATTTAACACTTTTTTGTGTTGATTTAACACTTTTTTATGTTAATTTAACACAATAAAACACAATAAAAATTATTATTATTATTATTATTATTATTATTATTATTATTATTATTATTATTATTTTATGTTTTTGACTTACAGAGCGCAGTCGGCAGAGTGCGAGGGAGTGCCGTGCTCGTAAGAAATTGAGGTACCAGTACTTGGAAGAACTAGTAGCTGATAGGGAGAAAGCAGTTCTTGCGTTACGAAAGGAGCTCGACACGGTGAGTGTTATGTTGTTCAATTTAACTTCAGTTCCATCTAATTTTTTTTTATTATCCTCCTCCACTTGTTACTCCTCGTGATCAATTCAGTACCAAGAAAAAAAAACAGACATACTAGTAGAAATAAAAATAAAAATAAAACAACAAAATGAAGGATAGGAACCAACAAAAATCAAAAAATTAATGAAAATACAAGTTTACTCGCAACAATGAGACTTGCCCAACCGTAAAACGACTGATTCGTTCATGGCTTTGTTACTCTATCCAGCAATTTTACTCATTCGTTTTATTTTCCCCAATTGATGCTAGCAGGGGATCAATTGTTTTTTCTTACTTTTTTGGTTTTTTTTTTTTTTTTTTTTTTTTTTATCACGGACGCCAATTTTTCCTCTCGTTACAACGTCATTCACCTTTTTTTTATTGTGATTGCTCTTCTTTTGACTTATAAGACCGAAGAGTTTAATAAAGAACGAGAACAAGAACAACACTGAGAACAATAACAAGAACAAGAAAAACAGTAACTCAAGAAGAAATACCCGAAGAAAGAAACAATAATATTTATCCACAGTAACAAAACGTTACCTCAGAAGAACCTCTAACCTTATATTAACCAAACCACGCCTAAGTATATTTTATCCAATCATTTATCCTAGTCATTAATCATTTATCATAAATCCTAAATGCATGAAACATTTTATTTGTCACTATTGCCTGCCTTGTTTATTAAAATAAGTTTGAACTTCTTAAAATTATTAAAAAAATTTCATATTTTCAGTACCGGTCTTGGGGACAAGATCTCGACGCAGGACGTATACCCGAAGAACTACAGGCCATGCTGGAAGAGTGTGGAGCAGTGAAAAATGAGCCTAATAATAACTAGTCCTAATGAAATATTAATTCCTAAATGATAAATATTTTGTACGTTCCCCAGACCTCTTGTTACCTCAATTTTTTTCTAGCTGTCTCGCGACTATTTTTTTATCTTTACCCCAGTTTTATTTTATAATTTATTTTTGTAACATAGAGTATGTTGAATTTTTTTTTGTAAGGGTATGTATATGTATGTTTAGAGACGTAAATTTTTTTGATCGCGAAAAAGCGTTTTCAGCAGCGACAACTGGTTGTCGCACATACAAAGTTAAAAATAATATCGTATCACGTATGTGTTTTTTTTTTTTTATTTTTTATTTATATTTTTGTAGAGTTTACGAGTACGAGAACGAGGGTGACGTGAGATTTCAAAATTGCATAGAAGATAGAGGAAAAGACTAGATTTTTGCTGTAAAAGCTTTTTCTATATCTTTAATATATATTTAAATAGATATATATTTTCTTGTGTGTATTCATATTTGAATAGCTCGGGGATGAAAAACAACATCCGTATTATCGTGTATAATATTATTAATGTGTATTAATGTATATAGATATACACTTTAACCTGTATGTTATGTACCTGAGCAGGGAGTAATATATTATCTTCCAACTGGACATTAAACTTTTATTAAAGTTATGATTGTAATAGTAAGCAATCGTCAAAAGTACTATCGTCAGGGGAGCTTTGAAATTTCTGTACTCGAATCTCTAGAGTAATTCGTTCACGATTATTAAAATAATAACAATAATAACAGTAATTATTGTCACTGTTATTACCATAAAGATATAAAAAGTACAATATAAAATATAGTACATAAAAAATAAATATAAATAAAAAAATATATTTTACTGTTATGAGTATGATAGAAAAAAGAATTGTATGTCGCAAAATAAAAGTGATAGTACAAAAATAACCATTTATTTGTAATCCACCCCATGTAAATTGAAGCATACCTATATTAGGATACTGAATAAATAATTCAACTTTTCTCGAGACTTTTTACTGAATTATTTATTTCGATTGGTCACTTTGTACCTTGTTGTACAATGTGGACGCTCATTGTTGTTCTTTTAACCGTAAACTACCGTGCTAACAACGGACCACAGGCCGCTAGCGAATTCAATCGGCTTTTGTAACAAAGTTTCGTCGTCACGTCTACGTATATACATGAGAATCGGCTTTTTTCGATAACGATGTCGTGGGTAGTACTAACCCGGCCTATTTCGTTTGTACGACTCTACTTTAGGTGTTTGAATCAACGAAACGTGTGTATTTACCAAATGTGCCAAATCGTGAGTGTACTTAACTAGCTAATGCATAATATATTACAATACATAAGCCTAGGCGTAAAATGCGTTTTATAGAAACGCCGTTCGTTGTTTATTGCCAGCGGTGTTATATATATAATGTATAATGTATAATACACAGCAGATGAAGAGTAGTTAGAGCGAGAGAAATATTATTATATATACGATGAGAGCTTAGAAGAGCGAGGTTAACTCGCCCTTTGTTACAATATCATCGAGCTTACTATGGTCGCATGGATCGTCATTGTAAGATATAGACATTATCGTTGGCACTGGTACTATGCTAAGCGGATAAATTAATGATGTTGCTATTAAATTTATACAACGATGATTTAGTATTTCAGAGATATTTTTTTTTTTTCATAAAATTAAGATTCAATTAATCTTATTTTGTAATTAATATGAATTAAAATTTTTAATTGCATATGTTTTCATAATTTTCACATTCAAAAATATGTTCTACCGATAAATTTTCAAAATTTTAATTATAGACAAAGTTATGAATATTTTAGTGATTTGGAAAATTTTTGTTTATTCTTAAAGTAGTACAAGCACCAAGGCAACTTTTGATAAAAGGCTTGATTTTTTTTTAATATGAAGTTTAAACATGTCTAAATAAATTCTGAAAATTTGAAGGAAATTGCCCGATTATTTAAATAAATAATTAATTTTGAAGTTGAGCAATTTAACATTGGTCTTATAGGGTAACCTCCAAACATTGATACATTTCTGTATTTTTCTCGTAAAAGTGTAGGTGAATATTTTTAAAAAACTTATGGATGAAAGTAAATATATTAGTGATAAATTTAATTCAAAAAAATTTACACTTGCCCGACTAATTAAAGTGTATTAATTAAAAGAAAAATAAATGCCGCCATTAGCCAATGTTAAATGTATATCTATATATTGAGAAAAATCATATGGTTACTACTCTCCCCTTACCGCACCAGAGTCGATACCTTTACTAGAGTCGTACCCCGCCTAGCGCTCGTACTTCCTTAAAATATGATTAAATAAATAATATAAACATGGATGTAAAAAGGATTCAACGGGTTTCTTTTATCAAAATTTAAAAAACTTCGTACATTCGTATCGTAAATTAATAAATATGAGAAAAAAAAATAAAATTTTGTCAAGTATTGACTGACTTGGATTCAACAATATTCTATTTTAAATACAATGTGTTAGTATTAATAAAAAAAGGAAAGAAGCAATTATATGAAGTAGAATTGATGACAATAAAACACTTTCTTATACGCTTCACGCTATGAATCGTAAAAAAATTTATATTAATTTCTGGCGCGGATCCAATTCGCTCCGGTAAATAATTTTGCACTTAATAATCAGTTTGTTCATCATATCAAAGATGTAACAAACAGTCTTTGAAGAATTTTTAGAGATTTATTACGAAATAATTTAAACAAATCATTAAAATTAAGGTGGCGTGAAGTTATAAATAAGAGTAATATAATTATTAGTAATTGGTAATTTGTAAATGTCAAGCTAATTCCAAGTTTTGAATAAAAATATCAAAATATAATCAAATAATAGTATTTGAAATATAATTTTCTGTAGAAATCACATTATCTTAATGGGCATGAATTCAACTCAACACCTATTAGTTATTAAAGTTAATTTGAAACACCCTAAAGTAATTTAATCTAATCTTGAAAACGGAGCTTCAAAGGTATATTCAATTAAAGTAAAAACTTTGGAATTAAATTTAAGTTTAATGAATTTTAGCAAGAATGTTGGCACTCCGATCAATGTTACTTGAACATCAAAGAATTTACACCACAACGTGATGTTGTCAGGACCCTCGATAATTTTATACATTGGTATAAAAATTAATAACTTCAATTAAAAATTGTGAGTGATTTAAAACAAATGAAAAATCGCTTAATTAGAAAATAATGATCATATCAATTTTCGACTTTACCTGATAATTCAAACATGAGCATAAAATTCAAATGTAATTTTCATCAACATGTCATTAATAGGGGTTGTTACTCTCCGGTACTATAAATTGTATATTTAACGATAATTTGTACATACGATTTGTTTGTAAACTAATGTATAATATTTGGTCATGACATGCGTTGTCCGCTTGCCAATTCAATAAATATAATAAGCATAAATATCTCATCCTACGAATAGTGATATTGTTTCTGGATTTCCTGTCCATATCACAATTACAAACAGCAAAGCGCGCAACTGAGAACACACACTGACACTGTTGATCGTCATAGATTACTGAGTTAAATAGTATTTCGATAAACCACCAGCCTTTTATGGTCGGTAAAGTTCATTTTTAAAATGTATCCCGACTGCAAATGGCAAAATCACGTCTAAAGTATATTATCAGTAACACAATTTAGCATTGTTTAATGTTATTAACGGTTTCTCAGGTGCTTTTCATACAATAAAATTTTTGATAATTAACAAAAATATCTTTTTTGTTTCATAAATTGATCAAAGTAGTTTTTGCTTCAGTCAAATAAAGTTACTCGTGTATTAATAAAAAATTTAACTTGATGCAAGAGAGAAAAAATCTTTAACTGAAAAAAATAATTTTTAACATTTAATTTGATAAAATGTTTAATATTTTTAATAAAAAAAAATTTATTTAATTATTAAAATAAACAGAAACAATTTTTTTATGTTTGATTCAAGATGAAAATTTTTTCATAACAATTTTCCTAGTTTAAGGTTTTTTTTTATCAAGTCAATTTTTATATAGGTGTTTAAAAATCACAATAAACAAATAAAAATGTTAATTTTCTTTCGACGATAAATTGATAAATTTAAATAATTTATTTCAATAAATTGTTGAGCCAATAAATTCTTTTATAGACAACAATTTTTCTTTCTCTTAGTATAGAGCTTTTAATTAACACTGAAATTATCTTAATTATTTGTTCTAAACAGAACTATATACATACAAGATTATTTCAATGATAATCGTACCATTAATTCCACTCCATACACAGAAACTCAAGCATAAAAAAGCCAATAAATTTACCCGTATCAAGGCAAAATAAAAATAAAAACAATGAAAACATTTTTGCGAAATTCATTTTACTTGTGACCAATCTCACATTGATAGGGGTCTCTACATAATTATAACTTTTTTAAAGCTTTTACAAAATTGAAATGAACCTCTGAAGTTTTTAGCGGAGAATAAAAGGGGACAATTTGCCCGACGTATTTATCTTAAAATGAGGAAAACAGAAGCTACCAGCTATAAGGTACACGTTGACGTTGGCGGTGGCAGCGGTTAAAAGATAATGATAATGTTAATGTTAATGCTAATGTTAATGTTAATGTTAGTAGATAACGATAATGCTTACAATTCTCGCAATTGTTATTTTCTATCCGGTTAAAAGCAACACTCGGATTGCATTAAGATATTCAAAAGAATTAGTCTGTTTGTATCTAATGAAAATGCAATCCATGGGGCTAAAGACTAAAGTGTTCGATAATAATGGTGATAATGATGATGATAATATTAATATTAATATTAATAATAATAATTTATTTAATAATAATAATAATAATAAAAGCAAGACGATGATTAACAACTACCGGATCAATCAACCTGAAAGATCTGTATGACTGTACAATGATTTTCACTACTTGCAAGAGCAAGAGACTAGTCAAATAAAATAAATTTATGTACACACAAGTAACGGAGTTAAT